GGAATAAAAAAAAGTGAGCAACGCATACTTTATAAAATGACAAACTTTGAATACTTGGAAAACATAATACATTCATATAATGAACTGCTTAAGACACTCGAGAGTTAAAGAGAGAAAAAATACGAATTCCATAAATTACAACTTTCAAATATTAATTAATTCCTCATGATGAGGGAATTAATTCTACCAGGTGAATTCTTTGCATTCTTTAAAACTGGTGTCGCACACAAAAAAAAAAAAACGTGAAGTGGTGAACGAACTGTAGAACATAGCTATAGATAAGATCAGATCGAGCACGAATGGTATAGTGACGTGATAAAATGTAGAAAAGTATCATTCGGAACAACGCGGATATGACGCGATACGCTTTCGTTACGTCATTTCTCGTAGAGCGAGCGTTACAAATGATTGCATTAGTTCATGAGTCACTCTCGCCTCGCCAAGTGAACGTAATAGTAATTTTGCACGAAACCGTGTCCTATAGACATGAAGCAAAATTTGCTCTACTTCGCCGTGGTACGGCGTGTACATGGTATCTCTCCATGAACTCACGAATATTCAATTTCTATACAAAGCAGTAATGTTACGTTCAAAATAATTATTACCCCTTTCTGTGTTATATAATGCACGCCGTGTAATCATTCGGAAAATGCTTTTAAGTTCGTAACGATGAGGGTATTTGAAATGTTAGTGAATACAGTTCTCATGAGATATTTATTAAAATTTAGGAGAATTTCGGTTTAATTCTTGAATGGAAATTCAGAATAAGAGATTACCAAATTGCTGAATTTGTGGATTTGTAACATTGAGGATCGGGAATTTCTGGCTTCTTAAATTTGAGATGTGGAAATTTGGGAATTGAAAACTTCTGGAAACTTCAGAATTGCAAATCTCTAAATTCTTAAACTTAGGAATTACGAATCTCCAAATTCCTAAAATTGGGAATTGCAAATCTCAGAATTCCTAAAGCTGGGAATTGCGAATCTCCGAATTCCTAAAATTGGGAATTGCAAATCTCGGAATTCCCAAACTTGGAAATTGCAAATCTCAAAATTCCTAAACCTGCGAACTGCTGGTCTCCGAATTCCTAAACTTGGGAATTGCGGGTCCCCAAATTCCTAACTTGGGAATTGCAAACCTCCAAATTCCTAAACTTGGGAATTGCGGGTCTCCGAATTCCTAACTTGGGAATTGCAAATCTCCGAATTCCTAAACTTGGGAATTGCAAATCTCCGAATTCCTAAACTTGGGAATTGCGTATCTCCAAATTTCTAAATTTCCAAATTTGAAAAAAATCCCAAGTTACTCAACTTGAAAGAGGGAAACTCCCAAATCGACAAATTTGACAAAAATTAAATCCCAAATTTAGAAAAAAATCTTTAAAAAAAAGAACTTAGAAAGTTGAAAAATTGCGGTGGTAACAAAAAATAGGAAGTTCGTCACAAATCTATTAACTTCTATGATGCATCTTCAATTTATTTATGGAGACAGGTCGATATTTATCTGAATCAGAGTACGCAATGAAATCATATCCGGTAGCCCGTTATTCCTTCATCTGTTGTTGCTCGTGTCGAAGCTGACGCGTTATGAAATGCTTATGCTAATACCTACGACGCATCACGGAACTCGACGAAAGCCGACATTTTTGTTGTCCTTGTAAAAGTTGCTCGTCAACCTGCTGACTGTGTGAAACACAGAAGAGAATGAAACGCGCGCGCGCGCGCCTCAAAAATGGAAAAAAATTATTTAAATGGTTTCACAGTAATGTTACACTGCATCACTATTCTTTTATTCAATTTTTTTTATCAACATATTTTAAATTTTTAATTTTAAATTGGCTGCAAGGTTTGCAT